CAAGATCTTACTTACTCGGCAGATTATAAGAAAAGCAAGTTGTTATTCCCATCACGGTCACGTAATAAGGTATTTTCTGCAACACAAAACCTGCTACATGGTTGCACATCAGGCAAAATGGATTAATTAGGAAAGCTGGCCTGCATATTCGTAATACTAGTCGCATCTCAAAGAACAATGACAAACAATGCGATAAAGCCTTTGTGCATGTCTGTGGTACATCATAAATATACTATTACTATATATTAGTACCTATAATTAAATGAATGACGTAAAAATATGTGTAGTAGTTGACGATTGAATGACTAAATTATATTCTTCAGCAAGAAATTCGAGTCTTTTCCTGCTCACAATTTGATATTACTAGCACATATATTACGTTCGAACTTCTATATTACTATCTACTGCGGTCAGGTGCTCGGATATGTAAAAAAACGGGTCTATGGTAGCACCGAATATAAAATGTTTCTTGTAAGTCCAAATTGGGTAAAAAGACAATTAATCCATGATGGAAATAGTGTAAAAATACCCCTCCTGTTTAGATCAATGGTTTAGTCGTAGGACCTTGGAACATTCTAAAATGATATTTTTTTCGATGACGACAACGTCGTCGCCAACGCGATTTGAAGATGAATCAATACTCGATATTTATTCTTAATACGCATCATTCTCTCCCTAATCTTATGCTCTTTTCTCCTTCTCCACTATCCACCGACACTTAATTGTCCAAATAGCGAAGAACAATGCCTATCCCGATTAGGTTAAAAGAACAAGTTCTAGACAAGGACGGTATAGAATTTGAACTCGACTTGTGAATAATAAGATAATGCACTATTGCATCACGAAACATTACAATGAGGTTATGAACCAAAGAAATGGTTGATTTCGTTGGTCTGACATAGGATTGCATCAGCGCTTGGAAAGACTATGGAAGAATAATAGGATGGGGCTGGCGATACGAAATATAGGAATACGATTCGCATGGACAATTTTCTGGCGCGTCATAGCTTGGCTGTATGATGACACCAGGTGTGGATGATGCAATTAGACATTGAGAAATGTAGAAAACTTTGGTTTCCGTTAGTCGAATGTGAACTTGTTAAGACTGGTGTAAGAATAATGGCTACGTATCATCGAAGACATTGATAAGTTGAGTGGATTGGAAGAGACAGAACAAGTTCTAGAAAAGGAGTGGGAAGGGAAGTTTGGTTGACATATAGACTTTGATGGCTCTGTTGGTGAATAAAGAAGGGCGGTGTTGATACGCTATGTAGAAGGAAGCGTAAAAGGATGGTTAGCGAAACCAGGGTGACAAACAAGAGAAACGTGCTTTTCGCCGGCAATAATGTGGGAGATATAGTTATTATATTGAGACGAAACCTTATAGGTTGGTATGTGGATTGGAAAATCAGGATGAAATGCAAAGGATAATGGATCGAAAGTTCCTCGAATATATACAATTTTATAGTGCAAGTTAGAAAGAATGGTTATGTATCAAATGAGAAGGATAAGATACGATGAGGTGAACCTATGGATCTACTAATGAACCAATGACATCCTTGGAAATGAGTACGAAACAGACCGCGAAAAAACTCTGTCCAGTTTTTGAGATCCATGTTATCTTTGATCGTGAAAGAATTCCAAGAACAAATTCACTCGCTAGTTGGATGATGCGAAATGTAAAATCAACGTGATGTCAATTGGTCAATTTTATGGCCGCCGATGGAATGAAGAACGTTCCACAACAGACGGAAATAGGCCGTATCAAATATATTCCTGTCTTTGAGAAAACCTATGCTATCGTCCCATACATGAATATAGATGTCAGAGGGTATATTTGAAGCATGGTCTTCTGCTACCGGAGACGTGCTATCGTTTGATGCGTCGGAGCATCTTTCATAAAATAACATATACGCACTATACGGTCTTGGAAATGTTCGAGTAACACTCTTCTGTAGATTGGTGGTAATCTGTTCTGGTTCTGGTCCGCCATAACACTGTTTAGTAATGTCCTTCGCATCAAACAATTCCACATTAGAATCATTGAACTGATACCATCGTCTTTCTGTTGACGGATCGCCAGGTGCTGGCTTGCGTTCTTTGGTGGAGGAATAGTGGTGTCCTGAATCTGCGGTGCCAGTGTGTACTAATACACCGACGAGTTCGTATTCGTGTTGAGACTTGTTAGACGTGTCCATGTTTAATTCGTCCAGTTGATAGGATGTTGCCTCAATTGATTGACAGGCTCAATAAATAGCTCTTCTACATTACAGTCTGTTGTCTTTGTAGATAAGCTCCACACAAGTCAAAATATTCTTTACTGGAAAATACATGGTTTTCTAATTCGGGCAAAAAGAGATTAGGAGTCGGATGAAGAATTCTTGCGCGTGCAATTGTTGGTCAGTGTTCCCATCGATCATTGGTTCAGTGTTGGTTCAGTGTTCATAACACAAAATCGATATATCATTCGTGGAATTTCCTCTCGACTCTTCAGATTGACATTGCGCGAGAGCAGACAATAGCCACTGACATAGATTGGGATATTTAAGAAAGCTGTTCAGCGCGTTTCATCATTGAGATACAAGCATAACAAGAGCTTTGTTGCGTGCTTGATAATAAAGACATCCTCTTCCACTAATAGGGATTATCAATAAATAGCATTGTTAAAAAAAGTTTCTAAAATCTGATCGTTAACGTAACAAATTCTCATATACCTTGTTCGTGGGATGGATCTGTACATTTGCCAACTATTTCTATCATCTTCACAACAAGATCGGCTTTATTGATTCTCTTGAACGTTTCTCCGCTAGCAGGGGCACAACAAGAGTTCATAGCCAATTAATTACCAAAGGCAGTAAACAGCCAAACACTACAAACCTCTTTAAAACAAGACGTTTACTTACTGTAAAAGGCCCAAAGATGCACGCTTCTTCACACAGACTCGCTCTCCGACGGGTCTCGCAAAATGAGCACAGATAATAAGCAATCCAATCCATCGTTATCTAGAAAGCGCGCACACCATTAGTCTGCGTCCACCGTTTCACCACCTCTTCTCGATAACTAGTCGACGATTTGCAGGGCGTATAGCAATCTGAAAGGCGATCGGCTGTCAAAAAGGCTACTCCATTGCACAGGCGTTTCCATCATTTTAGAGTATTGAGCATCCGTTCGTTAGTTGGTAGTCGCATAAGAAGATCCCATATCTTCAATGCGGATGATAGACAGAATAACAAATTGTGTTATATAAGAACTGATAATAGAGCCACATTCTTGGACACAAATTCCTACCCGCGATCAACGTCCATTCAAGAGCAAAATCCATCGACTATTACCGCTTGACCCGATCTGGGTCAGCCATAATCTGAACAAGGAAATTTGACATTCCGTAGCGGAGATACAATAAACCTTGGAAGGTGAATTCATTGAAAATTTCTCCTTCATTCCTTTATACCTGTTTCACGTGTTCTGTTGGTGAAAACCTATTGTTGCGATAAGTAGTCCAAATTTTTTCATGCCACATAGAGAACGTGGAGAACACGTGCAGAAATGTCAATGTGTGACAATATGAAAATTTAGGTACGGATATTAAAACTCTAATACTAATATTTCCGGTCCGTGCGCTATGTAAGAGAGACCTACACGAAGATGGGAATATTGACATGCAGGCAAAGATATGCAACTGTTCATTAACATGTAAATGAATGTATCATTCGCAGTGAGATGATTGGTTATCGTTATGGAGAAGCGGGCATGTTACGATATTCTCTGCGATTCCTGTTGAACGGAAAGCCATTATAATAATTGTAATCCACCGAATGTAACGCAGATGGAGTACACAGAATTTTGCAAGGAGGAGGCTGGGGTTGGAAGAGAAAATACAAGTCCTAGAAAAAGTTGTGGGAGGAACGTTTTATCTAATATAGAATTGAGCTCTGCCTGGTACACAAGAAGATGATGAAGATAGTAGAGAAGAAAATAATGCGTACACATTAACGTTGGTAGGTTAAAGAAAAATGGGGTTTGGGAAGAGCGATATTAATATATAGAAAAAGTTCATTGAATACATAGAATGTATCATGTCCATGTTGAGCTGCCTTATCTCACTTTAATAACTTTTGATTTTTCTAGCTCCCAAAATTCAATAATCATACTCGCAGACGTCAAGGAAGGTAATCAATAATGCTCACATTAAATCGACATAAATGAATCATAGCGCAGAGTTCGCTCGTTGATTTCATTTAGCGAGGAGAGATTGAGAGAAGTAGATGATAGCAGAAACGAAGAGCAGAGATGTAATGTAATCGTATTAACACAATAGTCAGCCGCTATATATCGACATTTACTAACATAAGTATGTATATTTGCAGTTTTTACGAAAACCGCGTTAATGACCTGCTCGCTGATCACGATGTTGTTAAGCGGAAGATTTATTATCACAGAAATGAGTGGTTTGGTGTCGATTGGTCAGTATATGCTATACTTTATACAGTAGTTCAGTCTTTACAATATGCTATGTATGCATGTCATGAATCGTTTTTCTACGAATGATGAGATACAGTGTGTCTCAAAAAAAATGGTAGTTTGCAATAAACTTTTTTTTCCGACTCGAAATAAATTTGCTTTATTTCATTTACTGGGGGGGGGGGGGGTTTCAAGAAAATTTTTGATTATTGCCAGCTTCTATAAGAAATATAGGGTTTAATAACATGATTAAATCTAAACTTGAAACAGGGACAAACTATTTTACACTTTGGCAAAATAATATTCGTTAATGGAAAAAAAACCTGACATGTTTTCTACATACATAATACAGTCGAGAATAATTTTCGCAAGCTCAAAGAATGCATGCAACTCCATTGAACTAAAAAGGATAGCATAGTGGATGTCCATTGAAAATTACTCAAAGCTTGTCACATTCTATTGATCAACCTGTTCACTTTCGACTCGTGAAACTTCTTGAAACACATACATCATTCTGCTTGGCAAAGAAGACTATAGAAAAATATTATTTTGTTTATGCAATGGATATGTGAACTAACTTTACAGCATGACGGCAATAGAAAAAAATTTTTTTTTTCATTAATAAAGCAGCTCATAGCCTTTTAAATGAGCCTAAATTTATCCAGTTACGTTATGTAGCTGTGGAAAAACATAATTTTTTGCTACCACCATTTTTTTTTGAGACACACTGTATACACCACTAGGTACGTGGATACATACTTTATTTAACTGGGACAAGTTATGTCGTTATAAGAGTCATCGGCAAACGCTTCTGGCGAGATGTCTGTCTTAGACTCGTAAGAAAAGGGACCATGGCGAAAGAAATAGACGTATTAACTCGAGATTAAAGTATAAGATTGATTTAACATCGTGATCACTAATTGTATTATAGATTTAACATTAGTAGAGATAGTCAAAGGTCTCGTTCGAAGAGTTAAATCTCAAGGTCAATATACGTACGCTCTCCTACGTGTATTGATCCGACATCGCAGATATAGAACACAAAGCCCAGGCAAAGTCTATTACGACGCGTTCAATTGAGACGACAGGGAAGGTTCCCAGCAATATAGAGAGAAAGAAACAGAGGTTTTTTTATTATGAATAAGATTTAAAGCAATAGTATCAAGATTACTATTGTTTAATTTAATCATGATAACAGATATTATTGTACAAAGTAGATTACGTGGCGTATTAAACCCTAACCTTATCTATGTCAAATGTGGGTCCGTATTATTTCATCGACAATCATTTTCCGACAGTACATTTCACCGACAATTAACTACCAAAAAAGGATAACTTCGAAATAATGTTGGTGAAAATTTGTCGGTGAA